GTGAGAAATTATGCAGTTTCTGTCACCTGAGGAACTAGTGGCACGTGTCCTGGAAGCGTGGTATAGAAGAGACATTTCAACCTTCTTAGGTTTGCAGGGTTGACTTAGGAAATAAGCAGATTTTGTTTTGTCATAGAAGGCAAAATATGTGATTTTTAGGTAAGTATTCATAGAGAGAAAGTGGCGCTAGAGGAGCAAATGATAAAAGGCAAATAAAATATGAGGACTCTCAGATGGATAAAAGAAGTGACCTCAGATTATAGGTGTTTAAAAAAGAAAAATTGAAATATCAATTGCACATAGTCACATGCAAATCTTAAGTACAGAGGCGGTAGTTTTTACTCAGGTGTATTACCACTACCTAGGATGAAACAGAAGTTTCTGTCATTTCTGAAGGTTTCCTCATGGCCTCTTCTAGCTAATAACTCCCTTTCAGTCCAGAAGTAACCACTTTCGCGATCTCTGTCATGAGGTAATAGTTTTGAAAACTTCATACAACTGCTTAAGGACATGGCTTAGCAATTTTCAATGAAGTTAAATATCCACCTCCTGATGCAGAAATTCCACTTCTAGTTACATGTCCAGGAAAAATGAGTATTTTGTAGGCTTGCATAAGAACTATCGCAGCAATCTTAGTTGTAGTAGGCTAAAGCTGGAAAACAATCCAAATACTCTTTTTTATTATTATTTTTAGTGTATAAGTGTATTGCCTGCGTGTGTGTAAGTGCACCCATGTTGTACAGTGCCTGCAGAAGTTAGAAGAAGGCTCTGGATCCCTGGAACTGGAGTTACGGTGGTTGTTGGGCTGCTATGTAGATCCTGGGAATTGATCCTCTGTAAGAGCAGTCAGTGCTCTTAACCTCTGAGTCAACTCTCTACCCCAATCAAAATATTCTTTAATGAGAGAATAGGCATCGAGTATCTGCACACAGTGAGTAGCACTCACCAATGAAAGAGTGAAAATTCCATGCTAGAGGGACAAGTTTCAGAAATATGCTGAATGAAAGAAGCCATACACAAGAGTGCGCACTCTGATTCCACTTGCATGTTCAAGATTTCACTGTTTAATGAAAGACTTTCACGACAATTTTATTTCTCATATTAACGCACTTGGGGAAATTTCTTTCCCTTTCAGAAAAAGACTTATATAAACATAAGTTGGAAAGAAGTAGAAGGAAAATTAAACTAATGCCAACAGTTCAGTTTTGGTCAAGTAAGAAACATGTATTTAGCATTCTTTATTTCTGTAGGGAGTAAGGAAGTACATTATATGGTTTTTCATTTATCCTTTATTTTGTTTCTTCCTCGAATTCTAATTCATTCATCCATTCTTTCCCCATCTCTCTTTCACTCTTACCATCTTTCTCTTTGTCTCTCCTATCTCTTTCTCTCTCTGTCCCTATGTCACCCCACACCCCATATTTGAGCCTAAACCCAGGGCCGTGTACATGCTAACTGTATGCTACTACTGAACTATATACCCCAGCCCAAATTCCAATTTGTAAGAGAGTTTTAAGGTAAAACGATTGCTAAATGTCATTTGTAAAGGTGGAACTGGGTGTGGTGGCTCACATCTTTAATACCAGCACTTGGGAGGCAGAGGCAGGTTGATCTCTGTGAAAGCAAGGCCAACCTGGCCTACATAGTGAGTTCCAGGCCAGCTAGGGCTACAAGGAGACCCTGTGTGAAAAACAAGCAAGCAAACAAAGATGGAAAGGCACTATGGGGTTTTTCATTACAAAACTAACTAGATATTTTACCTAGAATGATATTTTAGTCTCTTCTGCAAAATAAATGTTTTGACAAGTTACTGGCAATATTGGAAAGCAGGTGACTTGTTATTCTCTGCTCAAAACTTCACTTCTGATACAATTTCTATGACCGATCTGATAGCCACTGTGATGGTTTGAATGAGGATGTCCCCCATAGGCTCAAAATATTTGGACATTTTGTCCCCAGTGGTGGTGCTGTTTTGGGAGGTCTTAGAAGGTGTGCCTATGCTGGAGGAAGCACATCCCTGGGGGCAGGCTTAGAGAGTTGTTAAGCCTTGCCTGATCTCCAGTCGCTCTCCTTTCCTGTGCCTGCTTGAAGATGTGAGAGCTTGGCTTCCCTCTTCCTCCACCCACCTTTGCTGCCCTGCCTCTCCACCGTGGTGAACTCTTGGGCCCCTTGGAACTGTAAGCTCAAATAAATTCTTCCTTCTATAAGTTGCTTTGGTCAGTGTTTCTCTCACAGCAACAGAAAAGTAAGTAATACAGCCACTTTCTTCATCTTATTATTTTATCCATTTCCTTAAAGCACAAAAACACAGTAAACAGGCAACACTCTAGGAAATGGATTCCTGACCAGCATGGATGGGAATGACAGCATGCTCTTAAGCATAAAGGCCAGCAAGGACAGTCTCTGGCAGTGGAGCAGTTCTTTATCTTGATGGGTATGGCAGTAAATCTTGTAGTAGAGATGAATACCTGAACACATGTAAGATAGTGAAACAGGACAAGAAGGTCTGTAATTTGATCAATGCACTATAGCAATATCTACTTAGTTTTTGGTGTTTTGTACGATAGTATATGAGATATGACTAATTCAGGGAGCTGAATAGTCTTCAAAATTCTTTGTATTATTTTCAATAATCACTCTAAGCCTAAATTTGGTGAAATCAGTTTAACAATTATAATAGGCAGCAGTTAACCAAGTCTCAACTTGGGTGGGAGCAGGAATCAAAGAGGTAGGGTTCACAGGGCAAGCAGTCTATAATAAATTTACTCTTACCTACTTTTCTTAAATTGATCCCAAAATACCAACTTCTGTCTCAATTTTGGATTGGCAGTTATCCCCTAAGATACGTTAATGAGGTGATGTTCTGCAGCAGCCACACTGCAAAAGGAACATTAACTTTCACAGGGAGTTTGAGCACTGTGCATCTGCCTCAGGCACAGTACTCAAAAGAAACAACCTATGCATGAAAGGTGGAGATGAACTTTTGCTTGAATATAGTTTCTAAGATCTAGACTACAATGCCATCTGTCCCTTTCATTCTGTGCTGGTATTGTTGACAGCAAAGACCTAGCAAAGTCTGGATCTGCTTGCCCTACAACAGAAGCCAGTTAGCCCAGAGAAGAATGTGATAGAGCGAGAACCTTTTTCTTATGAGCTAGCTGATGGGCAATATTCCTGGAGGTTTATCAAGGGGCATTTAATATGGGAGATGGGTGATCCCAGGCTGTGTGCACCTCACAAGTAGACCTTTGTGTCCAAATACACACATCTGATACTAATGGCCTGGTCATGAGGTGCCTTTTAGTTCTGCAGATCTCAAGAGCTAAGATCATTTTTCCCTCTCAGACTCTCCGTCTCACTGAGTAGTTGTCCACATTCAGTTCTCACACATTACACAATGAACAAGGTAGAATGGGCAGCTGTGCTGAGACCCTCTTGCTGCCCAGGCCATCCTACTCATGCAAATGAAAGCAGGCTGAGTACCCTGATTACTCTGGGAGGCAAGGCCAGGGGAGCTGAACTAGGGAGTCAGGTGATCTGGTTCTCGGTGCTCAACTTTAGGATTTTCTGTGGTTGATTGTGATTTATCAGTGTAATAAAATTTTCTCTCAAAGAGGAATTTCCCGGGCTAGAATTAATGGTAAGTGCTTGTTATAGAAGAGGGACTGATTGTCTTTCAAAGAATTACTTTCTCTGCTGCTGTTGGCTAATTATGAGAACCTTTGGAGTCCTCTTGTAATGTAGTCCTTTCTGAGTTGAAAGCAATACTATGAAGAGATTTGTGGGGCATTCCAGGTATTGAGGGTTAATTTTACAGTATGTGGTAAAGGCATAATTTTCCATTTTTGAATTCCTGTCCCTAGAAGAGAAGTAAGTGCCTTTAGTGACTGAGCTATCTCCCCGGCCCCAGTTTTTGCATTTTGAAGTAAGAAAACATTTCTGGGGATGGTGAGATTATTCAGTGGGCGAGGGCTCTGGATCCCCAGAACCCACATGGTGCAATGAGAGAATGGATTCTGCAAGCCTTCATCTGACCTCCACACACTTGCTGTGACAGACAATTGCCCCATCCCCTACATAAATAGATAAATGTTTTTTAAAAAGTATTTCTGCATCTGGTTGTAAATTTGGTTACAAATGCTAAAGAATATTAACTTATCCTATGTTTGAAAGAATGAAATTATTTTAAATACAAATATCTCCTCTACAGAGACCTCCTCCTTTCTGTTTATTTTCAGTTGTACTCTGTACCTGTGTTTGTAAACTGATTATCTGAATCTCTTAGCTACTCTACCCTTCCACCTGTAATTTTATGTAAAACTTTATACAGTTGTTTTTCTGTGTGACAAATTGGGCTCCAGTATGAAAGGAGACTTATCATGATTTGAGTGAACAAAACTTGTACTTTTTTAAATATTTCATATATGTACCCTTACAAATTACATATGTATGTATTACTATAGCTTCTTGGCTTTGAATTTCATATTTTTAAAAGTATTGTTAAAACAATATAAACTTCTGAAATTTAATTCAAAGGAAATGTCTTACTCTACTAAAGATAATTTATTTGGCTGTGTGGATTTGTTTTAACAGATTATTTTTTCTTTGCATTAGTATTTTGTACATTTGTTAAGTATTTTTTGTAACTGGTGAAAAGGTCATATTTACATTTCATATCACAGGTATTTTTGTACTAACTAAACTTACATATTTATATCTATTCTCTGCTTAAAGTCAACATATGAAATGGAGATTCTAAAATAGAAGATGATTACTGAAGAATGAGCCTGGTGAATTTCTAACACAAATTGTTCACAGATATAAGAATTACAGCTTAACACACCATTTTGACATAGTAAGAAAGAGCTGAAGTTCTTATGTAATAGCTAAAATATTCTTAATTTGTACTTCATCAGAATTGCTTAATAGGCTTGTTTTAAAAATCATTGTTCCTTTGACTACAGACTTACAAGAGTTCTTGCTTTCTTTTTCTCTGACAGATATAAGCTTACCAAAGTCAGCAACAATATGCTACACAGCCGCCTTGCTCAAAGCAAGAGCTGTCTCTGACAAGTAAGTGAGCAGTTGTTTGTGTGATTACAAATGCTGGCCAAACGTAAGGAGACCTGTCTGCCTCTGGAGACTCTCTCTGGAAGTTTCTCTTGGTGTTTGAGACCCTACTTAAAAGCATGCATTTTCCAAAACCTGCTGATCTTTTATTTCACTACTAGGAGGAGGAAATGTCTATCCACTGGTATTGTAAGGGTGCGTGGGTCCCTAAAAAGGGATTAATATGAAATTAAGAAATTACATGCCTTTGAGGTGACTTTAAAATAAAGTTATTTATTT